TCTCCCCGTTCTCTCCAGGTTCTCCGGCTTCCTCCCACAGTCCAGAAACATGTTGAGGTTAATTGGTGATTCTAAATTGTCCGTAGGTGTGAATGTGAGTGTGCTTGGTTGTCTGTCTCTAAGTGTAGCCCTGCGATGGACTGGTGACCTGTCCAGGGTGTCCCCTGCCTTCGCCCTAAGTCGGCTGGGATAGGCTCCAGCCCCCCCGCGACCCTAATGAGGATTAAGCGGTGTATAGAAAATGGATGGATGGATGGATTTAGCAGATGTTAAATGTTGTGGAGCTACATTTATAGGTAGCTTTAGCTGGAAAGAAAGCTTTTTTTTCTTGTGTTTTCATGATTTCAGAGAAGTGATTTTACATTTAGGGGCTGGATCGGTGGCTAGCATCGTTGCCTCACAGCAAGAAGGTTGCCGGTTCGCGTCCCGATGAGGACAGCCGGACACAAGTTTGCATGTTCTCCCCATTCTCTCCGGGTTCTCCGGCTTCCTCCCACAGTCCAGAAACATGTTGAGGTTAATTGGTGATTCTAAATTGTCCGTAGGTGTGAATGTGAGTGTGCTTGGTTGTCTGTCTCTAAGTGTAGCCCTGTGATAGACTGGTTACCTGTCCAGGTGTCCCTAAATCAGCTGGGATAGGCTTCAGCCCCCCATGACCCTAGTGAGGATTAAGCAGTGTATAGATGATGGATGGATGTTTGTCTATATTGACAGTGCGAATGGAGATAGACTGGAAATGAGGCAAAAAACATGAAGGTCCACAGCCAGGAATCAAACCAGGAAATTGCTTCTTAAAGCATCTGTGCCCATAAAGTATGTGAACTGTTTTTCAACACACAGAGATTCACGGATCAGACATGCATCAATGATAACAGCACCAGTCCGAACTTTATTAAGTTGGTTGTATATCAGCCAATACATGACTGACTTTACTTATTCCTTACATTCATTAATTTCTGAAATCACGCGCCCTCACGTACAAATAATCCCTATGACTTCCATGTAGTGGGCTGTAGTGGGTATTTCACTGGCTACTGTTGTTAAGGGACTTACAGATCACAAGAGGGCAGTGTTAGGCTGCTGAAGCAAGCGCTGCTGTGGAGACGCACGAATGGAAAGGCCGCTGCAATCTGTACACGTATTGAGCTCTTGTATTATGTAATATTACCTTTGGATTCTCGAAGACAAACATCTCGACGAAAAATTGCCGGAGCCGACCAACATATTTAATAACCCGCCACACAACGCCTGACCAACTGCGTTGTGGTGCGAGCGCAGGTTGTGTAACCCGTGTGGAGAAATATTACATCCATTACTTGCAGGGTGTTTCTGCTGGTTCCCAGGAGCACGTAAGACTAACAGCACTCCAGGAGTCATTCAGGCAAAGCTCATATCCCATTCGTTGGCCTGGTTATAAATAGCACAGAGTGAGCAGGCATGGGAACGGGACAGTCCAAAATAAGCATGTGCACATACAGGATGTTTGAGCGAGAAAAGGTCGATTCACCTGTCGAGAACGCTGCCTGTTAATGGCCTCGAAATCGCACCAGCATGTACGGATTCAAAAGCAACTTCTGTGTCTCAAGACTTTCTCTGTACGCACAAAAACACACTGTGCTGGGAGAAATGATTGCCTTTCCTGCCCTTCCTCCATAATTTCCCTCTGAGTGCTGTGTTGCTGTGATGCCAGCGGTGAACAACAACAGGCCCTCTACGAGTCCCTGCCATTTCTCCTGCCCCGCACCTATTTACTCAGCAGGGAAGCGAGGAAGCACTGCACACTTCTTTTTTTTCTCCCTAAATTAGCTTCCTAAAGCAAGAGCCAGCAAATTAGTGTAACATTTTCCAGGAGATGCTGATGCTGCAAACACCATTGTTGTCTGGTCCAACAGGAGGGCTGCTCGGGTATGCTGCCCTTTCTTTTTTCCTGATTTAATTACATTTCAACTTTCCTCTTTAGTAGTTGTGAAGTTGTGTGCATGAAGTGGGGAAAGGGACTCGTTTAGAGTGGCATTAAGTGAGCCACTATATCGTGACTGCACCGCATGTATCACACCCTGGACCCTGTCCTCAAATGTAGTCCACAATCCCCCTCGGAGCATCTTCTCAATTCCACGCAGATGGCAAGTGGCAATAACAGCAAACTGGCAACAAGATCTTACTAAATATATCATTACCCCATAGGCTTGGCAGGATGAGCCCACTGTTCTATTTACGTGCTCCTTTGTCTTATCCTTTATGGAAAAATGACACTCGCCAGCTCGAGGGGCATGTGATTCTTGACTCAGAGTGTAAACAGACCAGAAGTGCACGAATGTGACGCTTTCACACAGCCGAGTAGCGCTCAAAAACAAAGTGACTTTTTACGATTCCGTCCCTCAGAATTAATCTAAAAGAGAGACGGGCATTAGCAATTTAGTCAGACTCCGTGGCAGTGACAGCGACAGCAACAGCGTGTTTAGTAGCTGTGCAAGCAGGAAAAGTGTTGACAAGTGCTGCCCTGAGGAATACCTTCTGTTGACTCTGGCATGCACAAAATTCTCTTGTTTGGCAAGACGGAGAAACACAGGCCCCCAGATGGCATGTTTTATCAGAGAAATGGGAAACGTCCTTCAAATCCAATCACCCTTCAGCTCCCAGATACAGTCGCTCTTATAGGCTCGTTGTGGCTGTTGCAATCCACACCTGCTCCGTTCACCTGGAATGACACCACGGACAGCAGCCCATCTTTCATTTCCCTCCTGGTACAGTGTGCAGCAGACGATGAGATTGGACGGACAAACGCCTGGAAACGGAAAACTAGGGCTGCATGTAGCAATAACTTTCATTATTAGATATTCTAGAGATTTCTTTCTCCTTTAATTGATGAATCATTTGGTCTTTTAGCAAGTTTGTTTGACTGTAATCAGATGCTGTCAGACGTATAGTCAAAAACTAATATACTAACTATTATAAATGACAAAGCAAAGCAGATGTGACAAGTTTTAAACATTAAGTCATTGCAGGACATTCAGATTTCTGCTTGAAAAATTACTGAAATGATTAATCAGCTCTACGTAGCTGCAGATAAATTGTTTGTTGATTCACAAATCATAAAGTTTACCTCATGATATCAGTGTTTACTAAAGTGATTGATACTTAATCTGAACATTTAAGCATAAATAAAATAAGCAAACTTTTAAACCATTTAACTACCAGTGAATATCAACTAACTCTGTGTCAGTAGTGACTCTGCTGTACTTTTAATTGGCTTCTATATTTTGCATTTTTAGCAAAACGCACAAACAAGACAATAGTAGAAGTTTCACTTTCGGCGTTACAACCAAACACTCACAATACCGTCATTATCTCAAAGGCCCTCGAACTGTTCAGTCTGTTTTTCAATTTAAAGTTTTTTGGGTTGCTTCTTATTAATCAGGTGTTCTTCCAATAGATTAATCTGGACGGGTAGATAAATACTCAAATGAAATGTCTGATTGCATTCATGCTTAATCTACTGCAACTGACACCCCTGATAAACAGGAGGCAGTTAATGAGAGAGACGAGCTCATTTCCCTTCTCCTCTGCCTCCGTCTAAAAAACCCATTGAGGTGCTCCCAGCTCATCCGAGGGAGCCTCAGCTGGAACTGTTTTTGATTGAATGAGACTCTATCTGCGCCTTTTCCTTTGAGATTTTTAAACGGGTAATGCACTTTGTCACAGGGTGTCACATTCTGGTGGAAGGCTCGAGAGTACATCTCCCTCCTCTACGTGTATTTCGAAGTCATGAATTTGTAGTTGAGCTTTTATGTAACAACCAGAGAGGGGGGGAGGTTGCGTGACGTGTTCCAATTCGCTTGAGGTGAAAGGTATCCAGATATAGATTAACTATTACTTTTCTGGACGTTTATTCAACATAAGTGCCATGTAATTCCTCCCTATAGTAAAGAATGAAGTGAGCAGGCCAATTATGCAACACAGAGGTGAGACTCTCTGTTAGCACTAATGCTTCAGGCCTTGTAAAAAAAACCCTGCTCACTTTGTTTAATCACCATAAAACCACAGACTGGTGGTTGGTTTTTTATTCTCCTGTTGTAATCCCACCGGTGCTGGCAACACTTCCACAGAACTGGAGGGCAAGTTTTTAAAGATCATCCCCGAGCAAAGTGCACCATCAGCTCTCCCCTCCAATCCAAAGCCATTGTCTCAGTGTCAGCAAAAAAAAAAAAAAAAACTCACAGCACTCGGCCCACCAATCAACAGCACGTTGACAAAAAGGAAAATTATAGAGAAGCTTAAGGTGTGGAAGCGCCGCCGTATCTCAGGCATGTCAGGAGACAGCAGGCAATATTCACAGGCATCGCAGGAGGAGCTGTGGGTGTTTGTCATTTTGGAAAATATATAGTTTTTAATTATGGAGGGAACATTTCCATATGAGGCTGCCGTGCAAGTGAGTGTTTGCAGACTTCAGCTACATGGATGTGGACGGCATCAGGCCACAGTTCAAACAATCAAGTTTACAGTTGAATTAGAGAACAGCAGCATAATTCGTGCATGACACTCTGCTGTGTAATTGCATTGCCTGGTGGTGTTGGATGTGTTTGTGTTCCTCTCTGCTACTCCCTCCCTCCCCACCTCTCTCTCTCTAACACTGTGTCTCAGAGATGGATGGACCAGCAGCATCACGCAGCCTCCAGCTCATAGTGGCAGTGATTGACATCCTGCTGCTCCTTAATAGCCATAATTAAACCCCAGTTAGCTGTTTGCGGTGGGAGATTGTGCAATTCCCTAATTTTAAATGAAAACCAATTTGCAAGGCAGGTTTGCAAGATTCATGCATTCCTCCTCACACCTCTGCCATCCTGTTACCAGCATCTGTTTTTCTCTTTTTGTACAACATCATCTGGACACACATTTTTTCACATGTTGCCACAAATGCTGCCTTTTTAATTCATCTCACACCTGGTTAAAGAAACCCACTAATGAGCGCATCACTTTGTTTTCTCATCTTTTTCACTCACTTCTGTGACTGGAGTAGCCCGGGTTGTATCCGTAGTAGCCGGTGATCCTCAGGATCCGGTCCTCTATGTCGTGCACTCCGTTGGCCGTCACTTTGGGGCTGCTGCTGCCCGGGAAGACGGCGCGGCTGCCACCGGTCGGCGTCGCCTTGCCCGGCAAGTGCGTGCTCTTCAGGGGCTCCAGCCGGATGCAAGGCTGGTCCCCACTCTCCAAAACACTCTCCGTGCTTATCATCGCGGGTCCGAGATCGGAAGAGGCCGGGGAAGAGCCCTGATCACCATGCGAGAGACCCTCGGGGCTTGCATCAACAATTAGCAGCGAAGGAGGAAAGGACATCCAAATCCACATTCACATTCCTTCAGTGATGCTCCCGGACGCAGAGCAAGGTTATCAAACTCCAGCAGCTTGGCAGGCATGAGACACTAGGGGGCGTGTCACTACTATCACATGCTTTGTATCTGGATTCAATTAAACAGGGAGAAGAACTTGGCTGCAGCCGGCGGTGGGGAGCAGAGGAGCCCGTGTTCATAACAGCATCACGACAAGCATCCTCATGAAAAACCCCTTACAGCATCATGTATGGCATGTCTTAGAAAGTCAGTGCAATCAAGTGTGTGTGGCTCCAGGTGAAGATATTTGTTTTGTTTCATCAGCTGTGTGGTATTTTTAATCTGACATCCCTGTAATATTCCTACAAACTCCCAGCAGGTGATCCTCTGACTTTAAAGTGGCCTTTTGGTATCACTGTAATATTCCTGTCACATTTCAGTTGGGATTTGGTATCTGGTTCCTTTTTGAAATGAGCTTTACTGAACTATAAAAAGCTCCCCTCTCAGGTTCTTTCTGTCACAAACTCAGTCTCTGAATCACTGAAGGATAATCAGTCTGAAATAATCCTGTGTGTGTGTGTTTTTATTCTGAATAGGCACATAAAAGACAGATTTAATCAACTTCTCATTGAACCCCCCCACACTAAAATACACCAAAAAGAATGTATTTTTACTGTTTCCTACTGCTTCCTCCTCCTCCTCCTCCTCCTCTCTGATATTTGTGGACTAATGCTGGACCTCTCAGTGATGTTTCCATTTGTTGGTCGCAATAAAAAATGCATGCGCGTTGGAGAAACAAAGGCGGCACAGGTTTGTCTCACACGCTGGTTCACAGCTATTGACTTCCCTCTGCACTTGAATGTGGGCCACAAGTGTTATTTTTTTTTATTTTCAGCCCTTGTTTGATTTTTTTTTGTAAGTATAGTAGCTCACAGATTAGGAAGTTTGTGCTGCTCGCCACACAGAATAAAGTTTTTTTTCTTTTGCTATTTTCAAGCACTTATTATGAATTTTATTCTAAGGTAAACCCCCAGAACAATCTCTTTTCCTCAGCTGGCCACAGGTTCTTGTGCTGGCTCAGGGAAGCTCCACTTGACTGGATCCCCCAGCTTGCAGATGCTTGGAAAAAAAATGTTTTTTTCTCTTTTTTTTTTTAGAAAACTGGGCTCTAAATCCAATAACACAAGATGCAGTATTTCAGTGTCTCTCCGATACGCCTCTTTCCAAGTCCTCCCCTCTCTGTGTGAAATTGATTCCCAGTGTGTGGAGAATTTGTGCCCCTATTGGCATTGTTGTGCAGACACATGCTGGGGTTTATGATGCCCTTGGACGCCAGAAGTGCTTCCTCCCCCTGTCTTACTTACTAAACCAATCTCCACCTCATGTTCTTTTGTTTCAGTTTGTTTGCGCTCCAAAGCACTTATCTCACACATTCAGTTCAGGGACAGCTTTGTGGCTACAACAATGAAATGCCAGCGCCCAGAAACTATCTCCACGCCTTTTGAGAATTGCTAATTTATTATTGGACACTTTCTTACAAGTCTGTGCATCCACAGTCCAAAAAAAAAAAGTTTTCTTCGTTCATGTACTTTTGTTGTGGCGTTTTACTTTTTTGTTCTGTATAGTTCATGCAAACGGCTCCTCTTGCACATTATGCGTCTCTTTTTATGTCTAAAGGTGCTCGTCTGAGTCGCTGTTTTCTATCAGCTGCTAATGCATTAAAAAGAACTCAGCTCAAAGGGAAAATTGCTCTTTGACAGCAGTGGGCTTATTAAAAGTCTTTGCAGCTCTAACCCACATTAAGAAAGCAATTTATGCATGAGCTGTGACAAGGCAAGTCCTGGCTTTTTTTTTTTTTTTAAAGATTTGAAATGCTCATGTGCTGTGTTGTATGAAAGAGACATGGCAAAGTGATCTCCAAAGAAATCATTCAATCCTTGGAGCAATATCTTAAAAGCTATCGTGAGGAGATGATCCTTCGTATCTTCTTTAATATCTTCTCTAATTGTCCCCCAGCAACGAGGCTGACTTCAATCTCAGACAACTTGATTATCATTCAGAGCATTCCCAGACGCTCCGTGCATGATGAACACGGCCTCACCTTCCTCTCCTCTCACCTCTACTGTTTCAGAAGGATAAATCAAAGCGCTTGAGCTGAAAACTCCAATTATCGTGCTCATTAGAGCCTCAAACATTCGCCACTGTTTGTGTTTTTGGCTGCGGCATGACGAGGGATTTTACTGTTACTGTACTGCGCCGCGGCTCAGTTACAGTTAGTGTGTGCAAATATATTTTGAAATCTCATTTTGGAGTGTTTCTAGTCATTTATCTAATGACAGTTTGACCACAATCAGGAGCCTGACTCTTCTCTTGTCGTAGGCATTCTACCACAAAACATAATCCCTTTGCCTAAGTGGAATAAAAGGACACACTGAGGAGACAATATGTCCCATGTGACTCCATCCCAGGCCAAACCCAGCACACCAGCACCCCCAACAGAGCCTCAGCGAGTCACCTTAGAGATCAGTGACCGACTCCCCAGCCACCTGCTGTATAAATATTCAATGTGCACTAAAGATAACCTGGCTCGTGCGGCGGGGAGAGAGAACGCGGGCAGCTCGGCAGAAGAAGGGCTTGTTATTTGAATATAGTGGCTGCACGGTGTGTTGGCCTGCAAAGGTCACGTTTAAAAGCCTGGTAAATATTTAATAACTTTGATCACCAGGTCTCTGTGGTAGTGTTAATTAGAGGGAGAAAGGAATGTGAACAGAATGAGGAATAAATAATTTCGTTAGAGCGAAAGAGTGAAAACGACAGTAAAATGTGATATTTCCCTTCCTGCTACAGAGACCGTTCTCTTGCACAACAACAAATGATGTTTATCCTCATCTACTGTGGCTGTGCACAAGATAAAATGCCCTAATGTCTTTTGAAGCCTCATATGACCTTTCTTTGTTGTCTCCATGCAAAGGAAAACTTATGAAGTCTCACCAAGCACTGGACAGCCTATAGGATCTCCTCCTCTTCCTCCTCCTCCTCCTCCTCCTTCTCCTCTTCGGCAACAAAAGTTAATTTGCCTCGAGAAAAACAACAAGTGTTCCTGTTCTCATTTAAGGATGCCAGTAGGCTCATCAATAAAATATGCAATGACCAGACGGCATTTTTAAAAATAGACGATCCACAGAGCTTAGCCCCTCCATCCTGCCAATCCACGCCCCGGGATGTTTCGCGCCTGTTTGAACGCGCTTTTAGCGGAAGACAATTAAGTAATGTACACACTACAAGCTGCAGCCACCAGCGGCGCTTCCAGCCACCGCTGTCACATGTACCTCTGCAGGCAATCTGAGTCGATATCACATGCCCGATACATAACTTTGCACATGAAATTTTCATCAGCAACCGTCTAGGTACCACTTCTACTGAAGGTCACCGTCTCCATATGTGGCTGTGCATGGTAAAGCATGTACACATGATTTAATGTCGCCTGACAGAGGACGCAGGAAGCACGTCGCCGAAAGTCAGCAAAATGGAAATATGTCTTGAACATGTGGCTCGTACATGAGAAAGCACTTAGCCTTTGACCTTATGCTTTATTGTTGCAGGCCGGTCGATGCACCAATCCAAATGAATGTTGCAGGAAGTATTTGCGTCTCATCAGTGCGGAGCTGTCAATAAGACGGACGTGGACTACTTTACGAGCTTTTCGGCTTATTTATTGGAATGTATTAGACAGATTGTTTACTCACAGACGTTGCTGTGTGTTGAGGTGGATGTTACGTCACAGTCTGAAATGGAAGAGTGTAACCGGACATGTGCCAATTGTCTAAAATTCTGAATTGTAGTGCCCTTTTGGAGTCGGTTAAAAGAGTTTCTGTGCATTAAGCCACACTGTTTGTCAAGTTAAGAAGCTGACTAGATCATTTGTTGTACAATTCTACAGTTTCATTTTGTAGACACTTTTATCTAAAGCGATGCATATCTGAGAGCAGATACAAGGAGCAAGGATCTAGTCAGGAGAAAACAACCTTAGCATCATTGCCTCGCAGCTAGAAGGTCGCCGGTTTGCGTCCCGGTGATGACACCCGGGATCTTTCTGCGTGGAGTCTCCATGTTCTCCCCGTGCAGCATGGGTTCTCTCCGGGTTCTTCCTCCTACAGTCCAAAAACATGCTGAGGTTAATTGGTGATTCTAAATTGTCTGTAGGTGTGAATGTGAGTGTGTTTGGTTGTCTGTCTCTAATTGTGGCCTTGTGATAGACTGGTTACCTGTCCAGGTGAACCTGCCTTCACCCTGAGTCAGCTGGGATAGACTCCAGCCCCCCATGACCCCAGTGAGGATTAAGTGGTGTATAGATGATGGATGGATGGATGGACTTCACAGTGCACAAACCTTTAAGGGAAGAAGTACAAAAATCCAAGAAACATCCTGCCTATGTGCATCATATTCACCAAACAACATATCTATTCATCCCTTCTGTTATGTCATGTATTTAATCATATAACACTGGTACAAAGACTTTGAAATTGGACAAATGCTCAATTCCAGCTTGATCTCACCTGCTGTATCTGGGAGGTAACCAAGTTAAATCCCTCAGCGTAGCTTTTCTGCATGCTCCATCCCTCCTCTGTGCAGTCAGGATGATGGATTGGGCCTCCGGCGGGCTGAAGGGGGGCTGAGGAGCAAAGATTTGGACGACAACAGGGACGGGACATTTAGTGTGATTGACCAGGAGGGATTGAATAATGTTTACGGCGATATTAGCTAAGGGTCTGTCTCCCTCTCATCCGCTCTGGATTTATGTTGTTCCAGGATGTTTATTATAAGAGATGCTGTTCAACAGATTGCAGATCTACAGATATTTCAGTTGAACTGCACCGCTGGGCTTTTGACAGAAACACAAGAAAA